AAAAAAAAAAAAAAAAAAAAAAAAAAAAAAAAAAAGCATTTTACTTATGTTGAAATTGGTGTCCTTTCAAAACCATCACTTATTTTATCACCGTATCTTTATTTCCTAAAAATCTCTCTGAAATAAATCTCTAAGTCATTAAAATATCTCACAATCTAAGACCACGTTTGTCAAACTACTAAGCAGAAACCATCTCCCTCACTCAACTAGAAGCTCCTCAAGGGCAGAGCCATCTAACCCTCTTTGTTGCACCTCTAGCCCCTAGTAGAGTGCATGGCTTATTGTCAGTGCTCAATAATTGCTGGCTGAACCAAAATAACACCGTTTAGGGATTCTTCTTGTGTTTTCATTAGATAGATAGTCAAAACAAAATATGTAAAATGAGAGAGAAAATAAAGCCAGCTAGATTGAAAAGAGATTTTATTCCTCCTAACTTTTCACCACTAATAGAATCACAAGCTCAAGAACTGGAGGAGGCCTTTGAGTTATCTTCCACCTCCATCCAAATGCCCAAGACCAGAGAGTCATCCAGCCTCTACTTGAGCAGCAGTAGCCGCTGTTAAAGAAAGTGTAAAGGCAGCTGTTTCCCCTATCAGATTGCTGTGGCTATTAGAAAGTTTGTGCTTTACCGAATAAAATTCTGTTACTCTGCAATTTTTAGTCACTAGCTCTGTCCTTTGGGGCAGAAGAGAGAAAGCTGACTCCCTTCACTTTACGATATTTCAGGTATTTGAGGGCAGCTATCAAATTCTCCACTCCATCTGCTCTTCTCAGGCTGAGCTTCCCCAGCTCTTTCAGCTGTTCTCATATGACATGGTTTCCAGACCTCTGACTGTGCTGTGGCCACCCTCTTGTGTCTGTTAATACCCCTTTTAAAATGTGACACCCAGAAAGGAGCTCCACATCGTGTCCTAGGAATCCTCTAAACAGCACACTACCTGTCTCATACATTACCTTGATCTGAACAGTACATTTCTATCAAGCATTAATGCTGCATTAGCCTTTAAGCAACTTCATCAAACTGAGGCCTCACAGAGTCCTCGTCCATGCCTTCTGCAGGAAGAATTTCTTGAATTCTTACCATGTCTAAAGATGCATGCTGAGTGCTGGGCACATAAAAATAAGACATACTTCTTGCTCTCAGCTTCCGATGAAAAATTCTCCAATTTGGAGCCAGGCATGGTGGCTCACGCCTGTAATGCTAGCACTCTGGGAGGCTGAGGTGAGAGGATCACTTGAGGTCAGGAGTTCAAGACCAGCCTGAGCAAGAGCAAAACCCTGTCTCTACTAAAAGTAGAAAAAATTAGCCGGGTGTAGTGGTGCACATCTATAGTCCCAGCTACTTGGGAGGGTGAGGCAGGAGGATTGCATGAGCCCAGGAGTTTGAGGTTGCTGTGAGCTAGGCTGATGCCTCTGTACTCTAGCCCGGGCGACAGAGTGAGACTGTGTCTCAAAAAAAAAAAAAAAAAAATTCTCCAATTAGGTCAGGTCTCCCACATTCTATAATTTTGGATCTAAAACTTTTGGATCTTTTACCTTCATCTTTTAGAGAATCTAACATTTCTACCTGTCGAGATCATTTTGAGTCCTCAGTCTATCACCCATCATATTAGCATTCATTCCTAGATTTGTGTTATCTAAAAATTTGATAAGCATGCCTTTTCTGATTTAATTCAAATGACTAATGAAAATGTTGAAGGTAGCAGGGCCAAGATACAGCAATCTTAGAGGCTTCTCTCTATACTGATATCAATCTGCTAATCAGTATCTTGAGCACTGTGGGTGGCTGGAGGAAGAGGGGCAAGCCTGAGAGTGCAGACAGATGGAGTCAGGGCTGGCTTATCTACAGCAATGTAATGCCATCACCAGACAGTCACTCCCCAAGAAGTCGAAAACCAGCCCCACTTCCTGAAAAAGAAGAAAATTATCCCCTAATGGGGAACAATAACCTTGCAGAGCCCTTGGGGAGGTCCTGTAGCTCCACGCTCTCCTCAGGTGGCTGTAGCCATCTTTCCAGATCCTCATCCAGCGAAGAGTGAGCTCTGTCCAAGGACAAGTGAAGAGAATGGAGACAACAGTCATTTCTCTTCTCCCTTGATAGGTACACATAACACTTCAGAGTGGGAAGGGAACTGTGCTTTCACATACATATAAGAAAATGAGAGCTCGGTGACATTGTGTCTAGGTCACTTAGATACGATTTAAATGTGCAACAAAATAGTCCTTTAGTTTCTTGACAAAAAGGCTCAGCACTCATGAGATCACTTCCTCCCAAAGTCCAATGTTAGACTCTTGTCTCAATTCTAGGTTATTAGTCAGTTTCTAGCTGAGGCTAGAGCTATATACACTTTCCTACATGTTCTTCTGACTAAGAACTACTTCTGAGGCTAGAAGATGCAAAGTAGAGTGTTTTAATAAGGCTTGAAAAGTCTCACCCATCTGAAAAAATATCTTCCACTCTGGCTTGGTGCCTAGACTGGTCATTCATAGCATTGGGTTGAGTGTCTATGGAGCATCTATCTGTGGCCAGCACTGCCAGTGCTTTTAGGAAAGGAAGAGACAATAACATAGCTAACTTCTGATCATGTACGAAGAAGTTAATATTTATATAATCAAAGGTAACGTGGCCTTCCTGGGAAACTCTTCTTTTGTCTTGAATAATGGCACAGATTTGTTACTGAAGGTGTTTTGGAGAGATGGAAGGGATGGAAGGAATGAAATTACATCCCACATCATAGATAAAAGGTTTCCAGAACTTCCCTATATTTTTCTTCCCCATATTTGCCTCTTTTGTTTGCTCTGTCTCCCCAAAAATCCCTCTCCCCACTTTCCTCCCAGGTCATAGGGCTCCGGTCTCTTCTACTTCCCAGACCCTCCCTTCCAGGTCTCTCGCTTTTCCATCCTTAAATAAAGAATAATTTAGTCCTTGAAGAGTGTGACAGATACTAGATTTACTACCCAAATGTTATTTGTAACATTCTCCTTTGCTTTCCTCTTCTATAGCAGCTGGAAAGCTAAAAACTTAGTTTCCAGTCTCCCTTGTACCCATCTTGAGATATAATGAGATACCATGAGATATAAGTGGGCACCTGCAGGGAAGGGTTTCTGGGAAAGTTTTTGCTTTCCAGGTAAAAAGGGGCAGAGTCAGATAAAATATTCCTTTGCCCACCCCCATCTCTGCCCGGTGTGTGGACAGCAGCCAGGAGAGGACAAGCTGTAAAGAAAGGCCAACATGCCATGGACAACAGAGCAGGAAGATCAAAAAAGCCTAAGTCCCTGGTGGCATCACTGAACTAACACAACAGCCATGCCCTTCCACCTGTGGACCTCGTTAAGCGAGACAAACTCATTTAAGCACGACAGTGGGGTTTTCTATCATGCACAGCTGAAAGCATTCTACATGGCTTCCCCAAGGATCCACAGGGCCAGGATTAAGATGAGGTGAGTGGTACAGGTGCAAACTCAGATCCTATTTTTCTTCAAAATTGAGACATTTTGTTCTGTTTATGTTCAGGATTTGGAAAACAGAAAAAAAAAGAAAAAAAAATTTAGACATTTTGTTCATCATGGATATTTTTGCATTAAATTTTATTTTTTAACATATTGCAATAAAAGGGCTGATGCAGTGACTTATGCCTATAATCCCAGCTACTGGGGGTGTGGGGATAGCTGAGGCAGGAGGATCGCTTGAGCCCAGGAGTTTGAGGCTGCAGTGAGCTATGATCACACCACTGCACTCCAGCCTGGGCCACAGAGCGAGACCCTATCTCAACAACAACAACAAAAATTGCATTAAAATATTACTTATCTTGACTACTGAGGTTTTTTTGGTGCTCCCTTCAATTCTGTGCCCAAGGAGTGTGTCTCACTCACCTCACTCTAGTCCTGGCCCTGAATGACGACAGTTTAAGACAAGGCAGGAGAAGGCAAGAGGCAAAGGTTGAGCGGAAGCGGTTTACCTTACAACCCAGGCAAAAGGAGAGATCCAAATCAGGAACAGAATCAGGTTTCTTGAGGCAACCTTGTACTTTTATTTATTTATTTATTTATTTTTTGAGACAGAGTCTCACTGTGTTGCCCGGGCTAGAGTGCTGTGGCGTCATCCTAGCTCACAGCAGCCTCAAACTCCCGGGCTCAAGCGATTCTACTGCCTCAGCCTTCTGAGTAGCTGGGACTACAGGCATGCGCCACCATGCCCGGCTAATTTTTTCTATGTATTTTTAGTTGTCCAATTAATTTCTTTCTA